TTTTTTTTTGCCTTAGTACACTAGTGTTATTCAAAATGTGCATAGAATCTGTCTGCCTGTGCATAAAACAAAGCTTTTTCCCACATCTTACCACAGAGACTGTCTGTATTTCATGAAAATGTGAAATAAGATCTGGGGTGCATTAGATACTCCACGTTTCCTGCATTTGACAGTCAGTTGCTGTTTATGCACTTTTCAAACAATCTGCATTTTCAATGATATTATTCCATTCTGTATTTTCCTCTGAATCTTTCCAAAACTCTTTGCTGAATATCTAGGTTAAAGTGTCAGGAGGGATAACTGCTGACTCCAGGCCTTGAAATATGGCTGACTGTTCTTTGTGACTTTCACTAGAACAGGGGTGTCTAATCCTGCTTCTGGAGGGCTAACGTCACAGTTGGAGTTTAGCTCCAAGAAGCTCCAACACACCTGTCTGAAAGTTTGTAGTGCGTCTGAAGACCTTGGGCGCATCTCAATCAGCTCCCTAGCTTTTGAGCTTGTGATTCAGTATAATGTACATGAATCTGTGCACTGGTAAGGACTCTGGCTCACTACACATTGGGACAGTGATTACTCAATTTCCAGCGGAATGACTACGTACAACGTTGTAGAACATCACTGATATTAATCAACAACTTTTTGAGATTATTTTTATGTTGTTCTGTTACATATCCTTACAACATTTCAGTCAAATATTAATTATAAATGTTAACTAGATGTGTTTACTACTTGTCTAGCTATGTGTTTATGCCAACATAAAAAATGGTTTGCCTTTTCAAAAATTATATTGTGCTTCATGATATTTATTGAGTTGGCTCATGTGTTTTCTGTTTAGCGCTTCAGAAATGTGATGGTAAGGGAGTGTAGTGAGCATTGATGCTCCCTGGTTTTTGTGATGCATTGTGGAAATTTTCAGGGAGCGAACGTTCCAGTGCATTGGAAGTATTTTGCCTTAAAATGCCCGACTCCCTGATCAGTGCCATGACTGCTAAACTAGGGAGCTGATTGAGACGCACCCCTTGATTAGCTGGTTCAGTTGCATTTGTTTAATTTGGGTTGGAGCTAAACTCTGCAGGACAGTGGCCCTCCGGGAACAGGATTGGACAACCCTTCACTAGACCTCATGTCTCACATTTTTAAACACAAAAACACATTCTGTGTGAATGGACCCTAAGTGTATATTTTAGGTGTTGCAACTAGTCAACCAGTTCATTTAAACCCGAGGTTGTCAACAGCTTTTGGTCCGCTACCCATTTTATGTGAGCCTACTTTGCATTGTCAATTTACATTTGACTTTAATGTTCACTCTCCAAGTCTGTTGCCTGTTGTGACAGAAAGGTCACACGGCAGGTCATAGGGACTGGCAGGAATCCCTGGCATTCCTTAAGTCATAATTACAGAGTGCTGACAGTGGTAATCATAAGCACTGATTTAACATTTGGTCTGGTTTAGTCTGCACACATAATGAACCAAACTTTCTTCTCTGGGCTTGACCTCTGACATGTAAATTGCACAGTCTTCAGAAGAATAGGGCATTAACACTTCATCAGGTAAGGGCGATGATAAGAATGGGTGGATGTCATGTGTTAAACTCATTTTACAGAGTTACTCCATTAAGTTTTGTCACGCTGTCACTGAAAAAATACTTTTAGGCCTTGTTCTTTCACCACACTTTTTGCAGATTTTATCATCTTTACTAGAAACCCAGTAATCCATCTAATTTCTATATGCATGTTATTGCTCTTACTCTGAACAATTCATCTTAACTCAACTTTAACTCTGCTGCCAATTTCTGATTTAAACCTTAGTTAATGAGACCAAAAGTAGAATAATAGTAATTGAATTAATTAATGAAGTTGCTGTTAAATAGATTAGCGTTTCCTTTTTTCCACTAAATATCCCCAATTTCCAACACATTTGAGGCAGATATATCTTTCATATCACTCTACTCAAACATCAGTGGCTCAGGTATAAATGCATTATATCTGCTGAAATGCAAAAAACAGTGCAGGCTTCAGTTTAGATCTTTAAGATTATCTTTTTGTCATAGGTCAGTTTTTAGTTCAGCTAGGCCAATAAAGTCTTGCATGTACAATGATAGTGCTGGTCATTAGGCTGAAGTGATCTGAGCGGTTTTATATAAAACTGACCTGCAGCACACTTGACAATATTATTATTACCGCAGCAGGATAGACGAATGCCACAGGTTCCTGTTGTAATTAAAGGAAGAATTTGAGAAGCAGAGGAAGCATTTCAGAATGTGTTGGTTAAGGGTGTAGTTTTAGATTTTTTATTTTTTTTGTCCTGTCTGTGGACATTTATAGACAATTATAAATGTATTAAAAATTTTTTTTTAGCTGGCCATTTGAAAATGTCTGCCTGTCTGTCATACAGCACTTGGGTACTGAAATTGAGTTGGTACCTGCACTATGGCTGCAGAGAGTCTGAAATCATTGCATCTTTAAAAAAAATATAATAATAATAATAATAATAATAACAGTAGTACTTTTGACATCTGTAGCCTGGATTGTATTCAATTCTTGCCGATGTTAGTGTTTTGTTTTTTTTAACTCTAACCCTGAACAGACTTAATAGAGCATGTAACTAATACATTCAGAGATTTTAAGTGGACTAGTGATGCACATGAAGAAAATCAAACCAGAACAAGTAGCTGGTGGGGATTTTGATACCAATCTGTTGTTGGAAGTTTTTGGCCTTTGTTTCAATATTCAATATCCAGAATATGAAATTAGCTCACTGTGCTGTACAAGGAGTTCTTCACTTTGAAAAGAATGTGTCTGTTATGAATTAACACAGTACTCAGCAGACATTGTAAGATGGTGCAATCCCAAATGGCTGCTCAAGTATTCAAAGTAGATTTATATCTCCCTGTTTCCGTCAGTGTTTAGTCCAGAGCCATGCTTTTATATTACCTATGTTCTCAATAGTGAGGAAGAAGATGTGCCAGACGCTTAGAAAAACAACTCCCGTCCAATGATGGAGACTCATTGGATGGGACTCAGACTAGGAATAAGCTGAAAAGGGAGATGTGTTTGACCAGAGATGAATGTCAGTAGTGGGCCAACACATTTTTTGAATTAATGTTGAACTAGATCAGGTGTGTGTGAATGGTTTGTCTGACTATGTTTGAATGGGGTCACTGAATATCAGTGTGTCAGCCAAGTTTCAATTGCTTTTCAGTGTGTGCCAAGGGTGTCGTGTTTGAGTCCGTTTATGTGCTTTTATCATTTTTATTAGTTTTAGATTTTGAAAAAAAAAAAAATCTATTTAGCTTGAATTAATTTTTATTTCAGCTTTAGTGTTATTTTAGTACTTAGTACAGTTAGCTGCCAAGGCAACATTTGTAATTTTGAAAAAATAAAAATTTCAAAATGTTTCTTAACAAAAAAAAAAAACAACAACAAAAAAAGTGTTATTGCACTAAACATATATTACCGTTTCAACATTCAGTATTTTTAGTAATATTACAATTTCAATGTCTAGAGTCAGAAATTATGTAATAAATTCTAGTTATTTATTGCTGACAGCCCTATTTTTTAACAGAAATTTGGATGCATGGATAGTGGATAAAAGATATGCAGTCAACATACAAATACATTTTTTTCCAGGTGAAGCAACATGTTTATGTAATATTGCAGTTAATATTTTTCTCATACAATATAAATGGATATTTATACATATACAAAATATGTTGCTGTCTTTATATTTTAGGTAGTTGGTCCCTCATAATCATGATATCTGGGAATCCTAGGAATAAAAAGGGTGAAAAAAGTTGCCTTAGATGAGATAAGACATGACCAGGTCTAGACAAAATTTGACTTGTGCATTTTCTGTACTGATTTTATGAGAAAATCTGTGGAATTCTGACTGTGCATTTAGACATGTGAATATGGGATTTCTGCCACATCTTTTGAGAAAAACACCTTCTTTTTTTTTTACCTACATTAATCGTACAACTTCATTTTCAAATATAAAGTTGCATTTAAAATGCATTTGCCTCCTAAACGTGTTCCTAATCGTGAGATGTTTGTTGTATAGAGGGATGTCAGAGCTCTCCAGTGTGTACAAGGATTTATTGGTCATGCTTGCAGGAAGCATCATTTTGGTACCATAAAATGTCTTCCAGCGCCTTAAGCTCCTACAGATGTAGACCCTGTAATTTAATGTTGTCTGCATGTTAGTATTCTCCTCCCCAGGCCACCCCGCTTGCCTCGACTTTATACGCCAATCAAATCAAAGAAATCTGTATATTTATTTACACCTGCCTTCTTTGACTTATTTACCTATTTACGATGCATTATATCAGGCTTTGGCATGGCAGGTCCGAGTCCGTGCGGGTCAGCTGAGGTATTCTGCGGTTTCCCCAGCAGTAGTTTACATTCTCAGCAGAGTCTAATAGTTCCCGCTTGAAGAATTCCTCAGGTTCGGCTTGTGCACGGAGCTATTTGCCTTTGTGTCGAGGTGGGAGACGGCATCTTATTTCCTTTCCTGAAATTTTCATGAAAAATAGACGGCCTCGGTTATTTTTCTTGCCATTCCTCACTCGTTAGCGTAGGACCGCTCTGTGAAATGTGACTTACCATGGAGCACAATAGTGCTTTTTGAATGGGATACAGATTAGTGGCCGTTTCGACATGTGCTTTCACAGCACTGAACCAGACGCTTTCGTTCTTCCTTGTTATTTCAGCTGAGCAGCGCATCTGCCTTCTTCCTGTCTGTGAGCAAATTTTCAGAGTCTGGGAAAGAAGCTCATGACAGAAAGAGGTGCTAATGCTCAATGCCCCACAGCTACTTTCGATGTTATCACGCGTATTGTTTCTGTGACACACAGACACATGCTTATTTGATTTAGTACAATATCAATATCTATCTATCTATCTATCTATCTATCTATCTGTCTGTCTGTCTGTCTGTCTGTCTATCATTTTTATGTATATATCCAGTATATGTCTGATAAATGTCTCTGTGATGTCATTCAGGGGGACATCCAGCAGCTTCTTTTGGTGGCAGACCCTCGTGCAGCCTCTGACTACTGTGAACACTACAGCCCTGACTGTGAAACCCCCCATCAGGAGACACCACAGGCCCAGGAACCTGAAGAAGAGGTCAGTACGTGTCTGGATCTGACCCAGACGAGTGTGCTGTGTGTGTGTGTGTGTTTGTTTGATGATGTATTAATGGATTATATACGGCCTACACCCACAGCTTCTTTCTGTGGCTTTCTTAGGCCTGGATTCAAAAACATCGCCAAATATCTGAATTATCCATCAGTGTTTAGTAGGGATATGTACGAGTAATCACCTAGTTGGGTTTTGATTCTGCAACAACTAGTCTAATAAAAATACTACTCGAGCTCTATTCGTATCCAGAAAGACTGCCAGTATATACTTTCCCAATGAATGTCTCATCTAAATATCAATGTTACAAATAAACGCATTAGGTGGCGCTGTGGATACTTGATGGCAAGGTGAGGGAAGGCCACCATATATTTACAAATATATTTTATTGTATTTGTAAATAATTTAATATATATATATATTTTTTTTACATATTTTCACATATTTGTCATACTAATGTTAATATTTAAAAAAATATATGCATTAGAGCAGGAGTAGGGAAGTTCGGCCCTAGAGAGCTGCAGTCCTGCAGAGTTCAGCTCCAACCCTGAAAAGTAGAGTAATCAACTAAAAAAAAAATTAAATGTATTATTTAGTCTATTATTGTGGTACAGAATGTTTTATTAGAGCTGCAGGTCTGTACAAACTGTCCTTATGGAATCTATTGTGAATCACAAGTGTGATCTAGAGGGATTAAACTCTTCTGCTAATCCCAAATTGAAACAGTGCGGTTTGTCTGATTTTCGATATTAAGCTTTTTCAGTGCGTCAATGTTTTCCAATAATATTTCATAGAATAACCAATGAGCTCATGGTGGAAACTATTTTTCCCCCTGCCACAGAGTCTGAGCCCACTGTTGAGTGGCGTGGAAATATATTTTTCTTTAATGACTCCTGCATGCTCACTGGGAAAGCCTAGTTTCTCCCTCCACAGCTAACTCTGGAATACCTGGAAGAGTGAAGTTATGTCTCTCAGCTGTTAAAGAACTCCTGATTGTAACATGATGATAAATCACTGTAACGGCTGCTTGGGGTATTGAGAACTACACCACAACAGGGGATGGAAAATGTAGCTTCACGTATCGTGGAAGACGCCAGAGCAAAACCAATGGACAAATCAGCTAATTAATTCAGAGTGATAAAAACTAATTACATAACTACATAGTCAGATGATATATAGCTTTATAACCAATGTTAACTTACTAGTGCTATCAGCAGTCCAGCATCAGCAACCTAATATCTATATCTATTAGGAAGAGCAGAGAACTTTGGACGCAGGCCCGTTCTTTTCCCCTGCGCCGTACCAAATGCTTTAAGACACATGTGGGAAATGGGGACGCATTTTTAATGGCCCAGGACGATATTTATGCCTTTCATCCAGCTCGCTGGCTACAGCCATGGCAGGCTCCAAGCCTGGCAAGACCCTTTAATGCCGTAAACCGAAACTAGAGTAACAGTGGACTGATAAGGCAGGTGGCTCAAAATTATATGATAAAATAGAACATTAGCAGGCATGTTGCAGTCTTTTTTATTTTCTTTTAATACTCTTTAAGACACTAAGCATTTTCACTATCACGTACCCACATAATCTGACATTTAAAGTGCATTTTTATGTTTTATAGAGGTTGAATTTTCTTGATTTTGTGAGTATTTTCACTGGTGACAAGAATACTTTGTACTGTTTACTTATGTCTCTTTTCACTAATTAAATGACACTGTCACTCATTGCTTATTTTGGGCACAGTGTTAATGCTTTGTATCTGTTAAAAAAAGATTACATTTTGAATCTCCAATAGGGATGGCACTGGAGAGTTACACCATAGTGAACTTCATCATTGGACCTTATTCATGAAACATGATTTGTATTCAAATTATTGAATTGAATGTGATTGGATATGTGCGAATGGATTTACACAGAATTCATTCTGCTCGTGTTTCATAAATAAGGCCCAGTTTGGCTCAAAGCATTTAATCTGTGCTTTTGTACCATAAAATGCTTTGAATGCTTTAAAAACATCTGCCAAATGTTACAGTAGTTAGATAAATAACCAACCAACTTACTCTTTAAAATGTCATGTAAAACATCAAATCAAACTAAGCCTTTTGTCATTACTGATTTGATGATCTAAATGGATGAGAAGGTCAAAGAAATGAAAGTTTTTAAATATTTGAACTTTTGTAGTTCACCAATCACCCATCATGTTAACGGCATATACAAGAATATAGATTCATATTCTTAACTATTTGTATTTTGTGTGATATGACAATAATGTATCATGCAATGCATCTGGTAACACTTTATAATAATGTTCATTAATAAATCATTAACAAACATTATATAATGCTTAATGGATCATTAGTTAATATATATTCAAAGAGTTAAAAACGTGAGATAATGTGTTTGTTAATGTTTGCTAATAAACTTATTAAACATTAGATAATGTTCAAACAAACATTATTTCATGTAAGTTAAAATGCTTACAAATGTCATTAAACTTTCAATTCCATATGATCAAGCACTTATTGAAAATCTACAAATTTTAACAGATGTTATAAATTGATTAAAAGCTTTTGTTAATGCACAACATTTTAGCTGCTATTGAGGTGTGATACGGGTAAGGTTAGGGACAGGTTTGGTGGTATGGGTAAGTTTAAGGTTTGGTTAAAGGGTCAACAGTGTACAGGGGTCAATTTGATTATTATAAGGGAACACGGTTCAATCTGTTTATATTATATTGCCTTGTTACCTTAGCTAAAATTCCAATGCCCATAGATACTAAATGATTAGTAATCGCTTATAAACATTTACAAATTATGAATAGTTGCTACTGCCAAAAATCATGAACAATTGATTAATAAATGATTAGTAAAGATGTGTGAATAGGGTAAATTCAGGTCTTTCGGGACATGTTTAGTAAGTTCATTAGTAAACATTAACAAGAACATAATCTCATATTTCTAGCTATGTGAATATATATTAACTAATGATCTGTTATGCATTATGGTTGTTCATGATTTATAAATGAAAGTAATTATTAAGTGCTACCATGCATCTTCCTTTTAGCATACGGTCACCCCAAAAAGTATTTGAACACTTAAAAATGTAGCCACACTTAAAAACCTATGAACCTTGTAGCATTATTTAACAAAACATCAAATCAAGTGGTGTTTATTTAAAAAAATAAATAAATAAATAAAAATAGTAAATTTTTCAAGCAAAGAAAAAAAAAGATAGAAGTTTATGTTTAAAATCACAAAACAGTATGGATATATTGTTCAAAATTATGCCCACTAAAAATAAAAAAATACAATAAATAAATTTGGTTTGATATTTTATCTATTAAGTTTGCACATTTCGTTTTGGATATCAGATATTTAAAAAAGTGTTCAAATGTGTTTTGAGGACTCTGTACTGTATACTGTGAAGGGCTTTGAATTCAAGTCTTTCTTTCTAACATGCATCCATCTCTCTCTCAGTACAATACTGAATACACAGATTATAATGAGTTCTATGACTACACAGAAGAAGTGACTGCCACTGAAAATCCCATTGACAACATCGGTACTGAGACCAAGGTAAACACTCTTGCTCATCTGTATGGCCCAGGTGCCTGTCAATCCCTGTGGGTTTTCTGCAGCCCTCCCACTTTCACGCTGTGTGGTCTCTTATTTATTACCCCAACTCTTACACTCCACTGTTCTGTTGCTCTCAGTAACTTTGCCTTTCTCTCTCCTCATGTGACATCACTTTTATTCAATTGCAGGGTCTAAATTTTACTTTTTGCTAGATCTGCAGATTTTTAGAAAATGTATTGACCATGAAACATTATTTCATATTGTGTTTATGAAGAACACTGTCATAGAGACAAAATACATGAAGCCTCTTTTCTTTTCTTTTCTTTTCTTGGCATATTAGACAAACAGTGCAAATCTATCCTATATCAATTTTTGATGATAAATGTTGTATTGAGATTTTTTTTCCATTTGTAGACAGTTTTATTTCTTTCAGAGTGATTTTAAACAATCTACTGCTATGCTGAAGTTTGTAATAAAGTTACCGGCCAGCTGTTATTTACTTGCCAAATCCTACTTTTACTTGCATTTGAACTGCTCATATTTCAAATTCCGATATAAACAGCTAAGAATAAGCAGTTGTTTTAAAATGAACAATAAATGAACATTCACATCTCATGATTAGATACATTTTGAGTGATGTGAATCTGTTGTGTGACATTTACTCATAGCCCAGCACTGTTGACACTGGAGACTACTATGTTGAGCAGGACTATGGCACTGAAGCCCCTTCTGTTTCCATTCCAGCCAATGAGGTAAAGATCTGCATGCTCCTACGTTTCATTTTCCATGGTCCATTTTAAGTGGGTTTCTATTCAAATAGCCTTCTTTTGGTAAAGTTGATCAATTAAATCAGTTTTTCTAACTTTAGGAAATTATTATTTTGCACCTTATTTTCTGATACATTTAAATAATTGCTGTATTTTAGATCATGTTATTACAAAGCTATGAGAGAAAAGTAGAAAATTATCCATATTTGAGGTGCCAACTCTACTCGAGGTGGTTCAGTGTGGTTTGTCTTTACTGAGTGGTTGTACCTCAGTCTGATTTTTATGGGTAAAAGTCAAATAAAAACCACTATTCCATTTAACAGTTTACATTAAGCTGAAAGCAGCGAAAGCATTGCATTTTCCTTATTTATGTTATTTCAAAAGTTTGATGATTCTGTCACAGTTTGTTCTAAGACATCGCACAAAGTCTAAATGAGGAACATCCAGCTTTAACTGGAACAGTATGTCTTGCATTTAGCGTTGGCCAAATGTCTGCTTCAAATGATACACCTATTGGGCTGACACGGCCTCATAAAGCACTCCTGGTATATTATACAAAGGCTGGGATTAACTAGAGAAATCTTAAATACTTTTGTTCGCTGAAAAAAAAAAAAAAGCTGGAAGGCACAGGATGTACAGAGTGAGATGAGACACCAGTGCAGCATTATCACATGCAAGGTTGTTGTGGTTTGTCATTTTTATTAACCAAACCAATTCAGATTTCTGGATGATCATTTTATGATAACCTTTAGTTTCTGTTCACTGCAGTGGTAAAAAATATTGAATGCTATTAGTTGTTTGTCACGTAAAGTTGCCCTAAAAAGTATTTTAACCGTATAAACTAATATATATATACAGTGTATATATATATATATATATATATATATA